CGGAGATTCACCAGTTCCTAGTGTTTTGCCTCATTTCTTTTCTTTCTATCTGCATCTATGTTTATAATTTTTTCTAAGTTTCTCACATCTCAGGAATCAATCCCTGCCCCTCTGCACACAGGCATTCCCAAAGACAGCCTTAAGCATTGTTTGTTGCTCATCAAAGCCTTTTGGGGAGAGAGTCACAAAACACAACCAAGCTTTTCCTCAATTGCGCCTTTTCCCCTGGCCCCACCCAGATATATCCCACAAGAGCCTCTGTCCAGGGTCTTTTCTGTTATGGTGGCTATGGGTCTCCTTCTCTCTCAATCTCTCTCATGAATCCTCACACCAAGGGAAGATGGGGCCTGGGTCACCAGGGGAGAGACAGACCTGCCCTTCCAACAATTGCTTGCAAGGGGGAATGTGGACTGGCTTAGGCCGGGTCTTCTAAGAGAAGCTGGAGAAACAGCTTGTTATGTTGAAATATTTCGATGTCTAAATCTTGGCAATTATTAATTTTTGCAACCCTTTGTGAACCAAAGGAAACATGCATAATAGTTGGGTTTGGTCCCAGTTTGAGATCCTTGTCTTAGTGACTAAGATGCGGCGAGATGCGAGGAGGCTTCAAGGTTTCCCCTTGGCTCCTCAGCCCCCACCCCAGATATGTAGCCTACCCTTTTCTGCTTCCCTGTAATTCCAACTCACTTGGGATGAGGACCCCTAGCCATCATCCCAAGTTCCCTCCCCAAGTGATGAGGAGGAAACTGGTCCAGACCTGTTAGTAAATCTGGTCCTCCGTGTCTACCTGCCCCCCACCCCATGAGTAGCTCTGCCCTCGTCACCCCCACCTCTGTTCCTGTAAGGCCTCCATGATAATGTGGGGAGGGATAAGAGCACTTTTATTTAATAGCTACTTCACGAACACCTACTACGTGCCAGGCATTGTTCTATAATTCAGATGAAAATCCTTAGGAGGAGAAGGGGAAGCTGATAATTTAAAAAAGCAAAGAGAAGTTTCCTAGAATATGCTTTGAAGAGAGATAAGTCATAAGGGAATAGAAGGGCAGAGACTAGGTGTGGTTGTATATGGGTTGGTCCGGAAAGGCCACATGAGAAGGTGGTATTTAAGCCAGGACTTGAAGAACCAAAGGGAATGAGCCATGCTGACATATGGGAAAAGAATACCAGACAGGAAGCAGCTGCTGCAAAGGCCCTGAGGCAGAAATATGCCTGGAGTGTTCCAGGAATAGAAAGAGGCCAGGGTGGCTGGAACAGAGTGACAATAGATGAAGGGAGGGGGAACCGAACCTCCCCTAGCTTGCCCAGTCCCTCAGATGAGGGACTCAAACTGGTGGCCCCAGGGCCCGATCCAATCATTGGGCACATTTTATCTGGTCCACAAAGTGTTAAGAAAATTAAAAGTCAGTTACCAAAAGTTAAGTCATTTCTTCAATTAAAAATAAATTTAAAAATCAAAAGAAAAGTAAAAAAATAAAGTAATAAAAAAAAAGTTGGTTACCAACATTTAAAAATCAGGAGATGCCATCATGAAAACAACATTTCCAGCTTCTCTTGGCTGGTAATGACATCGAAGTAGCACAGAGGTCAGGCCTCAAGGGGCTTGTAGAACCAAGGCTGCCCTGTGTGGCACTTCACATAGCTCCTGGAAGTCAGGCAGACAGTGACATGCCCACGGCCACACCACCCCAAAGTGGCAGGACTGAGTCACCTGCTAGCTCCCACCCTTCTCTCACAGGTGCTGAATTCTGAGGCCATGGAAAGCAGTTCCATAGAGTCCCAGGAGACGACACTTGTCTACCCAGGAATCTCTCGCTCCCATCTTGCCCAGGAAGTAGGAGCTTGGAGCATAGCTCCCCATCCCACTAGCCTGGTCTCTCAGTCTCTATCTTGGAAGGTGGGGACGTGGCCCAACCAGACCCCCTCTCACGGGTCAGAGTGCCTCCAGCTCCCACACCCCAGGCTGGCCCTTCTAGGGCCTATAAATTTGCCAGGAGCCTGTGGAAACATTCACAGGCTTGAAAGAAGGACAATAAAATTATTGACCCCTGAACATCAAAACCAAAATTAATAAAACTTTAAATCAGTGACTATAAAACACTCTATGACCTTGATTTTGTATTTTAAATCAGCATTCCTGAAGACTCTGTAATGTTCAGAAACTATTTATAGATTTGTTTTTTCTTATTTTGCAAGAATTCCCAGGATATTGAGAAATTGCAGCCAATCACAGCCTCAGCAGGTTCTTCAGGGCCAAGTGGTTTTAAAAAAAATGAAGGGGAAATATTTTAAAGGAGTTTATTATCTGTATAATACACATATAGAAAAACTGTGTCTCTATATATATACATATCATGTATATAAATAAATAAGTGGGCACACTTTAAATACGGCTAAAGTCAGATTGGCTTGGAAGACACCCCCAAAGAGATCCAGCCCCCAACAGGTCGCAATAGGCTACACGTACCCATCTCCCCTCAGACCCTCCCCAGGGTCCCAGTGTCCACACCTTCACCCATCTCCCCTCAGACCCTCCCCAGGGTTCCAGTGTCCACACCTTCATCCATCCACAGAGGGGTCTCAGGTGCTACCTTCCGGCCATAAGCCCCAGCCCCAGCCCCAGCCCAGCTCACTCTTGGATATGGCACATTCATGTCCAGCCCTGGGAGGAAGGTATGGTGGCCTGGGTTGGGCATGAGCCCTGTAAACACCTGGATATCTGAATGCACCTAAGGCATTCTGACAACACCTAAGGATTCAGAAAATGAAGTAGGCAACAGTCTCTAATTGGTGGTTCTCCAGGCTGATGTGTTCTGTTTGACCTGCATCATTTTTTTAAAATCTGATCTAAATTTTAATATTAGAAAGTCCACATGAAGATTCAGGTTTCTGATACCCATTGAAAATATAGCAAAAACTGGCTGGAACTGTGTAGAGGCTACCCTTTACTTTTTTACATTCAACTTTTTTTCAAGGTAGTACATTTTCAGGATATAAAATTCAAAGGTACAAAAGGGTGTATGATAATAAGTGAGTGTCTCTTCCACCTCATCCTGCAGCCTCCCAGTCCTCCTCCCCAGAAGCAACAATATTTTATTCATATGTAAGTATATGCACATACATTATTTTTCCCTTCACAAATGGTGTAATTCTTCTTTACATCTTGCTTTTTTCCCTTAGCAAGATGTCTGGTAAAGTACTTCTTTATCTGTCCACGTGAGTTTGCTCCGGTCTTTTTGGTGGCTGCCCTTTAAACAGGACAATAGTTCTCCTGTTTGCCCAGTTGCCACTGTACCTTATAATCTCACGCCTGTCTTGCTTCACTCGTTCAGGATTCTCGCTGGTTCTTTTGACATCTGAGTTTGCAGACTCTGGCACAGGCAAAGGACCCAGCATGCCTCCTCAGCCACAGAACTCTCACCCCTCCTCACTCTCTAATGCCTGCAGTTCCCAGCCTTCCCGGAAGAGGGAGACACCACTCCACTCCCATGACTGCCAAAGGGGTCTTCTGAGGGACATTACAATCTTGAAATGTCTGGGCAAGAGATCTATCTGCCCAGACACAAAGACCCCTTAGCTGGACTGGGATGCCCTTCCTCTGTTTCTATCCCTCCTTGAATTTCCCCTTTGACTGAACCCCATCCTCCCCGAATACTCTCTCCACTCCTTGTAGGGACTGGCCCCTCTTGAATGCAGGTCAGGGGAGGCTTTGTCCTAGTCTAGGGCCTGGGATTGAGAAATTGCCTGAGGGAGCCACATAAAGAAATCAAGTAGCTGGGTGAGCATTCTTGCCTCCCTGTCCGGCCCTGTTGAAGGTGGGGGGTCCGTTCTCCCTGCCCCCAGCAGACAGCCCCCAGCAGAGCCTTGACCTCCAAACCCCCTTCCCTGTCCTGTTTGCCACCCTCCTAATAGTACTTTCTCTGGCCTGGCTCCTGCAGCCCTCCTCCCCTCCCCTGCTATGGTGTTGGGGGTCGCCTAGAGTCCAGCTGGTGGCCAGTACAGAGCCACCCCTTTCCTGGCCCTGCCCCTCCCCGTGACCCCAATCCTCCGCCAGCCACTCAAAGGCGCCTTGTTCTCCATCCAGCCCCCAGACAAAAGTCTTTCTGTCTAAAAAGGCGGAATTGGGGGGAGGGGGCGCCCCAACGGGGACCATGTGGGGGCCTGCACAGACCCCAGCCGGAAGGAATGCCATGAAGAGGAGGGGCAGGAGAGGGAGAACGGAGGGGAAGGGAGCCTTGCACAGTGTGGCAAGTCTTATCTGGAGTGGGAGGCAGCCTGCCCCACCCCAAGCCCACTGTGTAGACCCAAGCTTCCCGCATTCTTGGTAAGAGCCTGGGCTAGGAAGGTCTGGCCTGGTGCTTGGGAGCTAGTTCCCAGTCTCCCTAGAGCATGATGGGCACAATGGGGGGTGGGGTCATGGTCTAAGGCCCAACCCGACCCCCGCCCCTACCCGCTGTGCACCCCACCCTCATCTTAGGACCTTGGTCATATCAGCATCTTCTGCTGACCCTCAAACCAAGTCAACAGCAACAAGTGACCCGGGAGAGGACATTAGATCTCCCATAGTCACCATCCATCCCTCCTCCAAGCACAACACATAATCTAAGTAAGAGAAATTAAGCTATTACACTCCTGTATTGCCCTTCCTCACCAACCTGCCAGACAGAGGCTCTGCTGTTAAAAACCCCTGGACCTTCTTTCTTCCAGGTCCTTTTCTGAGGGGCAGGAGATTGTATACTCTCTTGATGTGGGGGGCTGAGTTCCAGCCCATCCTATTCTCCCTGCACCCAACCTGAGGCTGTTATGACTTTGGACACCTGGGAGCTCCCTGTCACCAGTGGAGGTGATGGCGGGGAGCTGTCTCTTTAAGAGCAAGAATGGGGTGAGAGCTTCTGTGCTTTAGGGAGTCAGACTTGTTCTCTACCTGCCTGGCTTTGCCCAGGTTTGCTTAGGGAGTGGCAGCTGCAGATAAAGGCAGGACTCAGGCTGAACCAGAACCTCCACGCCGCTCAGCTCGGGGAGCCACACAGGTGAGCGGCCAGGGCCCCCTCCCTCCAACTCCTCTTGGCTCTGCCCCCAAAATATCAGTCCCTTCCTCATTATTTTCTGTTAAAGACCCTAGAACTTTCCCCCTTCAAGGTACTTTGTGGGGGCAGAAGATTGAAGAAAGCCCCTTCTCCTAATGAAATCCTCCCCCCATCATTCTACTCTTAGGGGACTGGGTGAGCCAGCTGAGGTGAGGATAAAGCCCACAGGTGGGATTGGGATGGGTTTGGGGTGGAGCAGGGGATTTCTGAGTGCACCAGAAGTATCTGGAGTACTGCGGGGTATCTCGGTGCACAGGGGTAGGTTGGGGGTGCCTGGATGGATGAGGGTATCTAAGTGGACCAGGTGTAATAGGGTAATAGAGTAGTTGGGAGAGTGACTTGCTAAACAAAGAACTGGGGTCCTGTGGATCTAGGAAAAGGGGATGGCGGTTCCTGAGGAGCTGTAAAATAGGGAGTTAGGTAGGAGATTTCAGGGGCACGGGGAGTGATTCTGCATGCCCGAAGGGCCTAGCCCCCATCGTGGAGGAACAGAGGTGAGAGCAGAGGGTGGATTTCGGAGGCAGGACCTCTAGGGCCAGGAAGGAGCGGAGAGGCGTGGGCAGCCTCCATCTGCAGGCCGTCTTTTTCTCCAAGCCTCACACCAACAGCAGTCAGTTCCGGAGCAGACCAGGGCCTCTTCCAACAATGGCCTGACTGGGGGAGGGGAGAGCAGATGGCCAGACACCAGCTCCCAGCAGCCCACCACAAGAGAGGCAGGCTGGAAATGGTGTCCAGGGGTGCGGCCCAGATGAGACCGCCATCAGTCTCCCCTGAGCTGGGGATGCTGGGAGGTGCCCCAGGGAGGGGGAGTAATGGAGGCCTTGCAGTGGGGTAGGGGACGTGGAGAATCCGATGGAAAGAGGCTTAAGAGCTGAGACTCTGTGTCCCGGGTGACAGAGGATACAGCATTAAGCTGAATTTGCAGGGTTTACGGGGTTGCGACAGCAACATGGGATAATTATAGTGCCAACTTCACGGAGCTGCGAAGATTATATGTGTGAATAAGTGCACAGAGCTAAGAACAGCATTTTCCATGGAGTGAACACTCGATAAGCCCAGGCTTTGGTTACTGGTACTAGTATAGTCACGGGGTGACAAAACCTCATGCGGTAGCTTTAGACAACAGCTGACTGTCTAGACCCCTGAGCCCAGAACCACTGGGCTGTCCTGCCCCTACACTCACTCCAGCTCTCCTCAAAACTTTTTGGGCTCCTAAATGCCTTAATAAAGCTCCTCAAAGCTACAGGTCCCCTTCTTGCAAGAAATGGATGCTCAAACTAAAATTATGAAAGCTGCACATGGGATTAACAAGAAGCTAAGAGGGTTCCCAGGACCTGGGGTGGGCATGGGAGAAGGTGGGATCTATGCAAAAGCATAGGAAACAAAGCAACTGGGGTAGGGTTACATGCAGGGAGCTGAAGGGGGCAGAGATGGGTGATCTCTTCAGCTGTGAACAGGGGTCCTTGAGGGGACACAGCAGGGATTGTCTCTTGGGCTTTTTACCAGGCTTGGAAGGGTATGTGTTTTAGTGTCATGAAATGGAGTATATAACAGATGACTTCCACAGTTGTTGGGGACTAAATAAGTGAAAACCCAGCAGAGTCATTTGGCAGTGCCCAACGTAGGGTAGATTCGGGTAGCTGTAAGCTCTTGGCTTGGCTATGAAGGTTACGACAAGATATGTTTGTGGCCATGGGGCAGGGACAGGGAGAGGGTAGGGGGATGCACAGAGACCGGGGGCTTACTGCCGGCATTTAGGACGGTGGGAGGATGATCTGACCCCAGACCAGGAGGGGACACAGGGGTCTGCTTCATACTGGGCAGGCCTTTCTGGGGAAGGAGGAAGAGTTTGTTGCCAGGAGGAGCTTGGCAGGGGCTGGGGTAGGAGCAGGGGTGAGACTCGGATAGAGGCAGGACAAAGGACTTGGGTGGGATGGGCAGGAGTGGGGCAGAAATTGGGGTCAGGGGTCCGGGTGGCACAGAAAATGGGGCTGTGGCTGCAGCCAGGCCAATTCTTCTGCCAAGTCTGTCCCCATACCCCCACCCCAGCCTTCTGTTCTCTCTGCTACATCCCGCCCTGAGCAGCCTGAGGTCTGCAAAGTCTAGGCAGGCGGGCAGGCTCCAAGCTGTCTGCGGGAGGCACTCCCGGAACCAGGCCTTCTGCCACCTGGCTTCTAATACCACTGTTTCTCAAAACACCCCGAGGCCCCAAGAGTCTTGAATTAGGAACAGCCCTGCAGAGCCAGGCCTGTTTAAATCCCACTTCCTGGCAAGGTGACCCTGGGCACCCACTTTCACCTCTCAGAGCCTCGATTTCCCAATCTGTAAGATGGGGATAACTGCAGGCAGCTTCTTCCTCATGCAGTTGCCAGGATGACTCATTTAAAGCCTCAAGTCCATGTCCAATGAGTCATTATTGCTGCTCCCTCATCAGGTCTCAGTTCTCACCCAGCCCCCACTGCACTTCTCGCCTCCTTCTTATCTCAGCCTTCAATGCCAACCTTTCTGCCCTGGGGTGAGCAGTGTACCCTGGTGAGGAGTAGAGTAGGAGGGGATTGGGAACCAGAGGCCCCGGTAGCATCTCAATGGCCCTGCTAAAGCTGGACCCTCTGTGACACCCCTCCAGGCCAGTGCTCCATCATGCAACAAGTCACCCTGAGCCTGCTCGTCCTCCTGGCAGGTGAGTGTCACCCCCTGAACTGCCTTTCCCCTGAAGCCCTCAGCTGAGTGGTGGCTGGGCCTCACATGTGTCTCTCTCATGCTTTCCCCTGCGGGGTGCTGACTGTCAGAACAGCATCTCCTTGGAGGAAGAAGTGTTGCACTAGTAATTTCGCGAGAACACAAAGATAGCACCTCTTAGAGCAGCAGCTCGCACCGCTAGAAAGTCACCATCTTGATGTCCCATTGATGACACCAAGGAGAAGATTCAGCCCTGTGCTCCTGTGTCTTTCACACCTTCCTAATACTTGCTTACTAGGGGTAACTGGGAGCTTAGTGGTTATGTAGCAAGTTACTGATTGTGCCTCAGTTTCCCCATCTGTAAAAATGAGGACAATAATAAGATGCTTATAGAGCCATTGTGAGGATTAAATGAGTTTTCGAAAAGCACTTAGAACAGTGCCTGGTACAGAGTACGCACTATGTGTTTGTGCTTTAAATGTAATTAAAAATTATTAATCTCTTTTTAACAAAGAAAGAACAGAACTTAGGCCCAGAGCTAATGCAGCTCACTGCTTCTAGCCAGAATTTAATCCTAGTCCTTTGCTTTCATTGGATTTGTTTTCAATCCGTTCCATCGTGCAAGACTGGCATTCCATTCAGGTTAGTGATGGCAAGTTGCATTTTTTAATAAAGTGTATTAAGTTTTTAATTAGTAAGTTGTTTTAAAGAGGAATGCTGAGCAAACATAGGAACAGGTGAGGTGTGGATGTGGCAGAATGGGGAGATGAGCTCTGAGAATGGCTGGGAATTGATACCCTCTGTCATGTGGACAAGAACATTGCTGTTTCTGTAGGAGGCGTGGATTAGCCAGGTGTCTGGAAACATCAGGTCAAAGCGTGGCCAAAAGCCACTCAGAGAAAACCTATTTCAGGAGGCAAAATGCTGGCATGGCTCCTGAGCCGGTGCGGAACGGAGAGTCCGCATCTCTGAGATGGGGCCTGCTAGTTGGGGGCTGGACCTCTGCACCCTCGGGGGGCGGGGAACTGTCCTTTTCAGGGGACCTTATTCCGAGGACCTTGAGGCCCTGTGGCCCTGCCCGCCGGCTTTGCTGAGCCCGGCACCACTGCCTTTTCTCCTGCTTCTCTCGCCAGGATTGCCTGCCCTGGCTGCCAACGACCCGGAAGGTGAGTCAGACCGTGCTCCTCTACCAGTCCCACCCCGGATTCTCCCCCGAGACCCCTGCATCTCGGCTCTTGTCCTGGATTCATGTTCCTTTTTCTTCCCTTTCAGATAAAAACAGTCCTTTCTACTATGGTAAGAGCTGGTGGCCCTCCCTTCACCCCACCCCCACCCCCACCCCTCATACTGTTTTGTGCCAAGAGTCCCACACAGGGTTGAGTGAGGGGCTGATGTGGGGAAAAAAAGTGGCAAGGGTATGAAGGGGCTTGGACTGGGGCACTGACCAATGAACACAGTGGATTAAGGGAATGAGACATGCCAGCCTGGTCCTTGGGAAGATTCATGACTATCCAGCATGATAGACACACACAGGAAGTGAGGACAGTTCACAAGAAGCCGTTGTTACGGTTTAAATCATGTCTGCTGAGAGAAGGGCTGACTTGAGAAAACTGCCTGGAGGAGCTGAGCTCCTTGGCCCAAATCCTGTAGCCTCCAGATTCCAGATGCTCTGCTCCCTGTCCCTCCTCCGTCCTCACTCTTCCCTCACTGCTTCTGCTCAGGCCACAGTGGCCTCTCTGCTGTTGCTCAGACACAGCAGACACACTCCCAGCCTCCGGACCTTTGTACCTTCTGATCCCTCTGCCTGGAACACTTTCTTCCACATAGCCCCATGGCCCCCTCCCTTACCTCCTCAGGCCTCTGCTCAAGCAGGGCCCCGCAGACAGGCTTTCCCTGACCACTCTCCCTAAAAGAGCTACCCCCTAACTTTCTGTCCCCTGCCCCTGCTTATTTGCCTTTGGACCACTTCTCCCCAACTGACCCTACATTAAATCTCTTGTTACTTGCTTGTGTTAACTAGAACGTAGGCACAGGATGGCTGGGGTTTGTTTCCTACACTGCTGTATCCCCAGCGCCTTGCACATCATAGGTGCCCAATACTTCTTTGACACGTGGATGGAGGCTTGGATAGGGAAGACACCAGCTGGCACTGAGGGCCCCTTTTGGGTTTCTCCTAGATTGGCACAGCCTCCGTGTCGGCGGGCTCATCTGTGCAGGGATTCTGTGTGCCATGGGCATCATCGTCCTCATGAGTGAGTGGAGGAGCTGGCAGGGGAGCGGACAGGGTAGGGCTTTGGGTGCCCTCTCCTGATCGTTCCCCTCTCTCCAACAGGTGGGAAATGCAAGTGCAAGTTCAACCAGAAGCCCAGGTGAGATGGGTTCCTCGGTGTGTGCCTGCCTCGTGCTGGACAGACACCTTTCAGGGGTGAAAGAGCTAAATCTCACAGAAAGAGGCCAGGCCTCCAGGCTTTGCTCTGGAGGATTCCTGCCGCTAGGCTTTCCCAGGTTTGTTCTTCAGAGCTGATAACCCTCAGAGGGCCCCCCATCCTGAAATGCTTTGGTCCCTAGGATGGTTCAACCCTAATAGGGAAAAATAGCCAGGAAGCTATGTCAGGGAAAGCTGAGAATCTTTCAGTCTTGAGGGAGAGGACAAACAAGAGTGGATACAGATCTCACCACTTTTTTTTTCCTAGCCATCGAAGAGGGGACATCCCACCTCTTGTCACTCCAGGTAAGGCAGGGACAGATGGGGCTGAGGGGAGCACGGGGTGGGAGGGGCGTGTGCGTGGTGTACACATGCTGGGGAGAAAGCACTCCACCCACTCTTACCGACTGACCGCATCACCTCTCCCAGGCTCTGCCCATAACTGTTGAGGACGAATCAGCCGAAATAGCACGGAGGCCTCTCTCTTTCCGTAAGTCCTGGCCCTGCACAGGAACCTGGACTCCAGAATGAAACTCCTTCTCTCCTCAGACTGCCTCGCCGGGCCTCCTCTCTCCTGTCACTGGAGGGGTCTCTGTTCAATTTTTAAACGAAAATGATCTTGCCTCTTGCCCAAGTAGTCTTGAGACTCCCTCTATGAGAATCGGGGTGGGCTTTTGGGGGTCAGGAGAAGGTGGACACGCACTGGGGGCTGCCAACAAGCTGGAAGCAGAATCTCTTTGTTGGGAAAAAGCTCTAAGCCTAGCCCCTCATGACCGAGTCAATGGCATGGGGTCTGTCCTCTGCCTCCATGGCCATGGGAGCCATGTGTGCAATTTGAAGTTTTCTAGTATTCAAATAAAGGACATTTTGGGGAGTGACAGGGAGCTCTAACCAGATGCTGGGACACTCAGGTGGACACTGGGATCATTCCACTGTGACATGAGTACCCAGAGAGCTTATGATTGTAATAGTAAGACCTCTATGACTCTTCCACTCACCCTTGAGACCCCACCTCTTTATAGAAGACCCTTCCTAATACCCAAATGTCTCCATGAGACCTTTAAATAACTCTCCCGGATAACCCTAATACTATACGATGCCATCTGATGTGAGAACCTCCAATGAGCCTCAAACTCCCTTGAGACTCCCCAATACCCAATAAGACCTCCAAAATGTCCCCACAAGCCACCACCTAAAATGCTGAAACCTCTCAAAACACCCCAGGATATCTACAATTCCATGAGATATGCCCCCAAGAAGACACCCACAATAAAACTGTGACCAGTCCCCTAATAATGTCCTTATATTCCTCAAGAGTCCCATGAGCTCCTCCATAATCATGAACCCACACTCCTTAGAGACCCCGGAAAGCTCACCGGGGCAGCCAAAATGCACCCCAGCGACCTCCCCCTCCATAACACTGCTCCTGGGTCCTTGCTCCCCACCCAGGCCCCTCTGGAGACACCCTCTCCCAATGATCCCACAACAACGGGTGGGGCAGACTCACTGTGTGTTTATTGAGCGCATACACCTTCTGCCTTCACCCCTGTCACCCACCCGGAGGGTACTAGGGGTCCCCGCAACAACTCTCACCTTCCCACCTACTCCCTGTGCCCCGAGCAAGGTGGACAACATCCTGGGCTTCCGCCTCCGCAGTAGGCATGCACACAAGCAGCAGAGGAAGTTAGCAAGCCTGGCAGGAAAACCTGCCCAGCGACTGATGGCGTCATGGAGGTGTGCACTAAAAGCGATCGACCAGACTGAGTTTAGAGGGAAAGGAAAGCGCTCTCCTTCCGAGTACTTTCACAGGGAGCAGGAGAGGTGGGAGTAGACTGATGGGGAACGTGCGCTTCCAGACCTCATGGAGCTCTGCACGTTACCCCACCACGACTTCTGTATTCTGGCTCTGTGTCCCAGCCCGAACCCCCACATCGCCCTTGGTGGGGGTCATTTGCCCCCAGCCAAGATGTTGCTTAAGACTGGAAGGGCACCTCTTGCCTTGAACTTGACCTGTGGCCAGTATCTCACAGGACCAGCCATAACCCCAAGTGGAGCCAGGAGACCAGTCAAGAAGGTGTCCAGAGGCCTAGGACTCCCCATGCCATATCCCCCCAGCCATGTCTAGGGTCCTCTCTGGTGTCAGGCACTGAGGTCTAACTCATGAAGCTGGTAGATCTGTGTGGGGCCCTTGAAGCAAGCAGCAAACAGGAAGTATCTGCCAGACATAGTGATGTGCGCAAAGGCCCGGGGGGCCACCAAGGCCGGAGGCCCCAGCTCCTGCAGCGGTTCCAGGAACCCCTTGTCAGGCTCAAGGTGGAAGACCTGGCTGAAGGCGAAGTCACTACCCAGGATAGCCAGCTGGTCCCTGGCGATGAGCAGTGGCTGGAAGACGTGGGCACCACGCGAGGGAAGTTGCTGCAGCAGGCGAAACATGGAACCATCCCAGCGCATGACCTGCCAAGTGTGGCCACTAGTTAGAGCCTGGGGTCCAAGAGGGCCATGCCTGCTGGTAGTCCTCTAGGCTTCGGAGGACTTGGAACAGCTTGTAAGCAGAGGCCTGTAAGTCCTCAAACTTCTGCAGCTTTCTCATTTTCATAAATATCACCACCCGGCAGCTCAGGCCACAAACTTGGAGCCATTCTTGGCCTTTCTGTCTCCCACACACCCCACCTAGATTCCATCGGCAATGGAATCTGTCTGTTTTACCTACTATATTTCTCCAATCTCCTCTGGCTGCACTCCTACCCAGCCACAGTCCCCTCTCCCTGGTCTCGCTGCTCCTGTCCCTGTGCCCACGATGTGCTGCCCACACAGGTACCCTATGAACACCCGAGTCAGATCAGTGCCTCCTAGGCCCAGACTCTCCCCTGGCTACACCTCGCTCTGGAAAGAGAGTGGCGGAGGGGGTGGCCATCGGCTTTGGGGGTTCAGAGTGTTGTGTTGTAGCTAAATGTAAGTCTTGGGGTGAGTCAGAGTTACAGAGCCAGAGGTTGGGGGCAAAATCAGAATCTTGGGGTCAGCGTCAATGTTGGGGGGTGGGAGTGGTTTAGGGTCAGCCATTCTTGAGGGGTCACAGTCTTGGAGACAGTGTTGGGGTCAGAGTTTAAAGATCAGTACACTAGATGGGGCTGTAATTTGAAGGCCAGCCTGTGAGGCTGGGTCAGAGTTTAGAGGCCAGTGTGCAAGGTCGGGTCAGTGCTGAAAAGCTAGTCCTGAGTGCGAGTCAGAGGCAAGTCGGGCTTGGCTTGTGGCTTCTGCTACCCGCCCCACCTGCCTGGGCCCAGGCTCACCATGGAGTCCCCGATATAGCGTGTCAGGCACAGGAACACATCCCCACCGGCCCGGAAGTGGCGTGTGGCGTAGACGTCCTCGGCCTCAGGGATGTCCGTGCGCCTCTCGAAGCGGCCCCCAACCCAGTGGAAGAGCACGGGCCGCTGTGAGGCAGAGGCCAGCAGCAGATGGGGCCGGCCGTCCAGCTCGAGGGCCTCAGCGTCCGTGTCCCGGTGCCAGGCGTGCAGGCTCTGGCGCGGGTAAAAGCCGGGCCCGTCACGGCACAGCAGTGTGGTGCTGCCTGCCTTGGAGGCGTCGGCCACCACAAAGCAGGGCTGCCCATCCAACCACAGGAGCTCGGCGTCATTGGGCCTCAGCAGCCGCCTCGGGGCCAGGGTCTGTGTGGGGGCCAGGCGCAGGCCAGGGCTGGGCCGGGCCCATAGCTGTGAGCCTCCCCACAGGCGGGCAGCCAGCATGAAGAGGCGCTGGCCCAGCACCAACGGCTTGCAGGACACCACAGAGGGCGCTATGGGGGAGTCAGGGAGCAAGGGGCAGGTCAGGCCAGTTGGGCAGGGCAGGCCTACCCAGCAGGCAGGCCACAAGGCAGGCAGGAAAATGGGAAGGGGGCTCACCAGACAGCTCTTCCTCAGGCCGGAAGCGCTGCAAGCCATAGTCCCAGGTGAGGATGAGGCAGCGGCCAGCAAAGGGCTGTGCTAGGACCACATGGGGCTCCCCCTGGTAGGAGAAAGATTCCACGCCCAGTGCCGATTCCCCAACCGTCTGGAACCAAGACAGCTCTGGGGGTAGCAGGAGAGAGTCAGGCAGGCCCGGGGGACCCCAAGGGTCCTCATCGCTGAGCCTCAGTTTGCACATCTCTGAAATGAGGACCGTCATGGCGTTCACCTCATAGGGACAGAGTGGAATCTGTTTCTCTATAGCTGTATTAACTCACAACAACATGGTAATACTTTATTTTCTAAGCTTCATGGAATCATCAGGTAATTGCTTAGAAACAGCATGTTTTATGAATTCCTTTAATTTCACAAAACTCTATGAGGTACATTCCGTTATTATATCCACTTTACAGATGAGGAAACTTAGGCTAAGAGATACAAGCAGCCAGTTTCCAGCAAAATCCATCCTCCCCATCTTTTGTGAAATAGGATTGGAGCTGGGCACAAAGCTGCCCAGCTAGAGGCCACATTATCCCAGCACTCCCCCAGCACCCTCTCCCAGTGGAACATGCCCACACCGAGTTCCCAGTGCAACAAGAGGAGAGTGGTGGCCGCAATGCTCACCTCGCTTTTGTGAGGATGGCTTGCCCTAGACTTGGTCTCCTTCCCCTTCTCCCCACGAACTGGCAGATGGATGTCCCACAACTTGGTGTCAATCATGAAAACCAGGACAATGCCCAGGGGCTGCCCCACATATCTGGACCTCTCACCGCAGACCCTCTGTCTTCTTTCATTCATGGTATTTTGAGCCTCTTTGTTATAGCAACTTAGCTTTTATGAAAACGATTTACCCAGGTTGCCCAGCGTAGTGGCAGTGGAGCTAGGCGGTTGACTCCAGGTCATAGTACTTTGCTCTACATGCCAGGTCCTGTTTCTAGGTGCCAGGGTTGAAGCAATGAACCAAACTACCAAGGATGCCCATGCAAAGAGGGATCTTTTTAAAATGTCTAAATTATCACTCTTGCTCAAAACCCACCATGGCTTCCTACAGCCCTAAGGTAGTAGCCACTTTCCTCTCCGTGGCTTTCGGTGTCTTGTACAGTTAGGCCCCTGTGCCTTCGACCTTATCTGTGTCCCTCCCTTCGCTCACTCTCCCAGGCCTGCCTTCCTTTGATCTTCAAACAGGACAAGCTCTATGCTGCCTCAGGGCCACTGTACGTGCAGTCCTCTCTCTGCAGTGGCTTTCCCTCTGTATTTCACTTAGCTGCACCCGGAGCTAAGGCCCTCTCTTCAGAGAAGCCTCCTCAGATGCCCCATGTAAGGTAGGACACTCCACTCTGAGTGTCTCTCATCACTTTCATCTGTGCAACGTTTTATTTAATGTCTGTCTCCACACTCCCCAGGACTGCGAGGCCAGGGCTCAGGGTTATCTTGGCCACTACAGCGTGCCCATCGTCTCTCACAGGGCTGGGCACAAAGCGGACCTTGGTGAATGTTTGTTGAAT